TTTGTGAAATAAAAGGCCGGGTTATTGAACTTTAGGGCTGAGTTATGATAAATTAACGCTGGGTTTTTGAAACTAACGGCTGAGTTATTGAACTTTAAGGCTGAGTTATGATAAATTAACGCTGGGTTTTTGAAACTAACGGCTGAGTTATTGAACAATACGACTGAGTTATTGAATTGTACGGCTAGTTTATTGAACTGGAGATTCTCGATTGCCTACCAGAGTTCTCACTTAGATTGGCGATGCAGTATCTGCGTGGAGATGCACTAGTTTGGTGGGATGGAGTGCGTTTGAGGCATGGAGCAGAGAGGCTTACTTTTGCTGATTTTATTCAGGAGTTCGATAATAAGTACTTTCCTAAGGAGGCCTTGGACAAGATGAAGAGTGACTTTGAGCATGTGAGCCAGGGTAGCTTGACCATCAGGGAGTATGAAATTAAGTTCAACCGGCTTCGTAGGTTTGCTGGGAGTGGCATTTCAGAGGAGGACTTGATCCGTAAGTTTCTGGTTGGGATGCGGATCGAGATTCGCAACAGATGTCGGGTTGTCACTTATCACAGATTGGGAGACTTGGTGGAGAAAGCCGCTGAGCAGGAGGAAGGTTTAGCAGAGGAGCAGAAGCATTTCAGAGCAGCTCAAACTAAGTTTGGAAAGGCCCCAGAGTCCCAGAGGAGTACAGGAGACCAGTCGGGACCACCGAGATGTCAGCGTTGCCGTCGTAATCATCATGGACGGTGCCTCGAGTGTTCTATTTGTCGTCAGTTGGGTCACGATGCGAGGTTTTGTCGGGTTAAGCCAGTGGCTGCAACCCCAGTTAGGCAGGTCGCAGCAGCAGGGAATTGCTATGGGTGTAACCAACCAGGCCACATGGTTAGAGACTGCCCGAGGAAGGGCAATGCAGCACTTCCACCGCCAGCCAAGCGTTTAGCCATTGCTCCGCGTGCTTTTGCTACAGGAGACCCACATGGAGCAGAGCCGATAGCGGGTATGTGCCTTCATTATTTTCAGTTATGTGTGAATGTTTTGGTTTCATGGTCATCATGGGTAGTTTGAAAAATATTGTGTAGGATCGGTTTTGGTTGGAGGTGAGCCAGCTCACACATTGTTCGACACGGGAGCTTCTCACAGCTTTGTGAGTCCGCGCGTAGTCAAGTCTTGGTCTTTTCGGGGAATCTTCGAACCGAAGGCTAAGCAGATTCAGACCGCCAGAACTGAGAAGGTAGGAGCAGTTGGTCTTCATCGCGACGTACCGGTCATGCTTGGAGGAGTTGATTTACTTGGAGACTTGACAGAGATGGAGATGAGTTTTTACGACGTCATACTTGGGATGGATTGGTTGACGCGACATCACGTGATCTTGGATTGCCCGAAGGCAAGAGTGAGCATTCCTAGACCGGAAGGAAGTATCATTTTTCAGGGGATGCAGACATACCAAGGAGTTTCCATCGTTTCCATGTTACGTGCTGAGGAGTTGTTGGAGAGAGGAGCCGAAGGGTTTTTGGCAACTATTTCGATGGTTAATGAGGATGGTCAGCAAGATTTGCATGATATTCCAGTGGTTGCTGAGTTTGAGGATGTTTTTGAGGCCTTAAAAGGGCCACTACCAGCAAGAAGTGATATTTTGACTATCGAGGTGGAACCGGGAGCAGCACCGGTTTCCCGAGCTCCTTATAAGTTAGCACCAGCAGAGATGGCTGAGTTGAAGAAGCAGTTGGAAGAGCTATCAGATAAGGGTTTCATCAGACCGAGTACTTCACCATGGGGAGCACCGGTATTATTTGTGAAGAAGAAAGATGGGAGTTTCAGACTTTGTATCGACTACAGGGGTTTGAACAAGGTGACCATCAAGAATAAGTACCCGCTGCCGCGTATTGACGAGTTGTTGGATCAGTTGCAGGGAGCTTCATGGTTCTCTAAGATTGACTTAGCGTCGGGTTACCATCAGATTGCAATAGCCGATGGAGATGTGCAGAAGACGGCTTTTCGTACGCGCTATGGTCATTATGAGTTTGTTGTGATTCCATTCGGATTGACGAACGCACCGGCAGCATTCATGAAGCTGATGAATGATGTGTTTCGTGAGCATTTGGATAAGTGTGTGATCGTGTTCATCGACGACATCTTGGTTTATTCTCGTAGCAGAGAGGAGCATGCAGAGCATTTGCGGATTGTATTGGGAAAGCTGAGAGAGCATCGGTTGTTTGCTAAGTTGAGCAAGTGCAGCTTCTGGCAGAGGAAGATCGGGTTTCTTGGTCATGTGGTTTCAGAGGCAGGAGTCGCAGTAGATCCAGAGAAGATTGGTGCTATTTCAGAGTGGCCGACGCCTAAGAGTGCTACAGAGATTCGCAGTTTTCTCGGTTTGGCTGGGTACTACAGGAACTTTGTTAAGGGTTTTGCCAACATTTCAAAACCGATGACGAGACTAACGGGCAAGGACGTTAAGTTTGATTGGACTGATGATTGCTCCAAAAGTTTCACGGAGTTGAAGCGACAACTGACACAGACGCCGGTGTTGGTACTTCCGAGGCTTGGGATACCATATGAGGTTTACACTGATGCGTCGGGTACTGGATTGGGATGTGTATTGATGTAGGAGGGTCAGGTCATTGCTTATGCATCACGTCAGTTGAGACCTCACGAGGCTAATTACCCTACCCACGACTTGGAGTTAGCAGCAGTTGTGTTTGCGTTGAAGATCTGGAGATCGTACTTGTATGGTGAGAAGGTGAAAATTTTCACGGATCACAAGAGTTTAAAGTACATCTTCACTCAGACGGACTTGAACTTAAGGCAGCGCAAATGGATTGAGTTGTTGGCAGATTACAATTTGGATATTGCTTATCATCCGGGGAAAGCTAATCAGGTGGCAGATGCTTTGAGTAGGCGCAGGAGCAATGTTTCAGGAACCAAGGAGGTTCAGGAGTTTACGGGTATACTTGCTAGTCTCAGATTGTGTGCCACCACGGTAGATGGAGAGACATCTGGTCTCGAGGCAGTTGAGCGGGCAGATTTACTTTGGAGGATACGCAGAGCTCAGGGTGTTGATGAGGCTTTGTGTAAGCAGATTGAGATCGAGAGTATTGGGTATCACACAGCTTCGAGTGTGATGTTTATGTTCCGAAACCGAGTTTGTGTACCAGATGATGAGCAGTTAAGGAAGGAGATCTTGAAGCAAGCACATCACTCGAGTTTCTCTATTCATCCAGGGAACACCAAGATGTACAAAGATTTGAAGCGTTATTACCATGGCCTGGTATGAAGAGGGATGTTGCTACTTTTGTATCGCAGTGCCAGACTTGTCAGATGGTTAAGGCAGAGCATCAGGTGCCTAGCGGGTTATTGCAAAACCTGCCATTGCCAGAGTGGAAATGGGACATGGTGACTATGGATTTTGTGACGGGTTTGCCGACCACCACAGGAGGAAAGAATGCCATATGGGTAATCGTGGATAGACTCACCAAGTCAGCTCATATCCTCGCAGTTAAGAAGACAGACAGAGCTGAACAGTTGGCAGAGATGTATATCAGTGAGATTGTTAGACTGCACGGAGTACCTGTCAGCAGTGTATCAGATCGGGATGTAAAGTTCACTTCTGCATTCTGGAGAGCCTTTCAAAAAGCGCTTGGGACCAAGGTCCACATGAGTACCACATATCATCCGCAGACGGATGGTCAGTCAGAGAGGACTATTCAGACATTGGAGGATATGCTCCGAGCTTGTGTTTTGGATTGGAAAGGTAGGTTGTTGAGGTACCTATCCCTAGCGGAGTTTGCTTATAACAACAGTTATCATTCGAGTATTCAGATGGCACCGTATGAAGCCCTTTATGGTAGACCTTGTCGTACCCCGCTTTGTTGGACAGAAGTGGGGGAGCGACATGAGATAGAGCCAGCAATGGTTCAAGAGACGGTAGAGCAAGTTGAGATGCTCAAGAGACGACTTAAGGAAGCCCATGATCGCCAAAAGAGTTATGCAGATAAGCGTTGTAAGGATTTAGAGTTTCAGGTTGGCGACCTGGTATACCTTAAGATGAGGACGTTTCAGGGAGGATCTAATACTCGGAAGCTGAAGAAGCTGAAACCGAGATACATGGGCCCTTTTCCTATTTTGGAGCGGATTGGGGCAGTGGCTTACAGATTGCGTTTATCAGCAGAGTTATCAGATTTCCACGATGTGTTTCATGTGTCAGTGTTAAGGAAAGTCGTGAGAGAGCCAGAGCTCATTTTGCAGCAGCCGCCCAGTGATCTTCGTAGAGACTTATCCGTAGTTTGTCAGCCAGTGGAGATTGTGGATCGACAAGTGAGAGCGGACCAGGGGATGATGACCATGATGGTCAAGGTTCGTTAGGAGAGAGACGGGATCCAGGAGGAGACCTGAGAGTCTGAGCCGCAGATGAGGATTGATTTCCCAGAACTGTTTCGAGATGTTATCGGTCAGTCGACGCTAGACTCGAATTCGAGGACGAATTCCCAGCACATTACCCAAGCCCATTCGTTTCAGCCCTTGGTGATTAATATAAAAACCCCCATCCTTCCCATTTCTTTCATTAATGAAAGTTTTAGAGAGAGAGTTTGAGAGAGGGTTTGAGAGAGAGTCTTGTGTTCTTGTAGAGAGAGAGTCACCAGAGCACCTCGCCGGAGCCACCACATCGCAAGTTCTGGTCCAGCTCGTCACCGCCGACCCCCAGCCTAGGTAACCACCGGAAACCACCACCATTTTAAGTTAGTTTTGATCCGTTTAGTAAAACATCCATAACTTCCTAACCGTTGAGAATCTCGTGCATGCAAGGCTACCACCGTGTTCTACTCGTCGAGACGAATCCGT